CCCCCCCCCCAGCACACCCTAGGGATTCTCCTGGTGCCTGGAAAGGTTTCGTGGTAGGTGGCTACCTACTTCCCTCCACCCCCACAGACTCAGCACCTGGGGAGACAGAAAGGAGGGGTGTAGAGGGAAGGGTTGGGAGAGGAACCCAGCTGAATCCCCACTGACCTCATCAAAGGTGATTTCCTCATAGTCCCAGTTCTCAATGTTGAAGAGCATGACCACCCGGCCATACTTGTCCCGCCTAGAAAGGACCCCAGGGTAGCCCGCCTCCATGGTGCAGCGGACAGCCTCTGGGGACAGACTGTCGAAGAGCTCTGGGTACTGCAGCCGGAAGCTGATGTAGCCTGAGGAAGGAGAACAGGGGCGCTCCCTCAGGAAGCTGTCCCTCCCTCCACACTGCACCCAGGGTGGCACAGGTGGGAGTCCAGAGTCTGGGGCTCCTCCAGGTAAATCCTGTGTGAGAACAAGCAAAATGTGTGACCTTTCTGAGCCCCATGTTTCCTCACCCAAAACTGGGTTGATAAGGAGGTGCGGTCCCGTGTCACCAAATTGTTGTAATCACTCCGGGGTCTAGAGTGAACATGACTTTGGAAACTGAGCAAAGCATCAAATGTAATCCTAAATATAGTGGCTATTATAGTTACTGTCTTTTCCTGTGAACACAAAATAAGGAGCCCTGGTGGCCCTGTGAGCTACACATGGGGCTGCTAACGGAGGGGGGAGGGAGGAGGGAGGGGGAAATGAGCTGACACCAAGAGCTCAAGTAGAAAGCAAATGTTTTGAGAATGGTGAGGGCAACAGATGCTTGACACAATGGGTGGATGTGTGGATTGTGGTAAGAGTTGTACGAGCCCCCAATAAAATGATTTTTTTAAAAGAGGAGCAATAAGGATGGAAGTAGCCCTAATAGATATTCAACATTCCATAAAATCTCTATTTAACACAGTGCAGCATTGGCCTGTGGACAAACATCAACGGAAAAGAGAAAATCCAGGAGTAGCCTCAAGTACATGTGGTCGTGATCTCCCTGGGTAGTGCAAAGGGTTAGCATCGTAGGCTGTTCATGAAAAAGCTCACTCCTCCTGGGTCCATCCCAGGTGCCCCAGGAGGAAATCCTGGTGATCTGCTAAAAAAATCAACCACCCTGGCTCTCCCAACCACCGAGCCAGGCAACCCAGCTTGCGAAAGCTCTCGGTGCCCCGAGGTCCACAGACGTCTGACAAGCGCCCCCCCTTACAGCCAAGATGCCTGTAAGGAAGGTCAGCTGGGCCAGCCGAAGGGGCAGTGAAGCAGCACCCCAAGAGGAGAGCAGCAGAGGTTGTTCTGGAAGCCCGCACCTGCAGAAGTGGAACCAAAGCCCAAAAGGCAGCAGAAAAGGATAAATCCTCAAATTTTAAAAAGTGCAAGCAAAAGGGGAAACAGGCCAAAGTAACTAACCAAGAAACTGAGGGTGCTTTATGTGCTGAAAATGGAGAAACGAAACGAGCCCAGCCTCTGATGAATGCTTATCGACCATGTCCTATCAGTGGGCCCTGCTAGCTCCCTTCTTGTACAATCCCAAGGAAGATCTTTATCCACTATTTTGTACATACAACTCTTTTAGAAACATTTTTAAGAAGGAGGAAATCACACTTCATACTATTTTTTCAAGTGTGCTTTTTTTAAGATGTGAAATCATTTACTGGTTGTTTATTTTTTGGTACATCTAGGAAATCGTGGGATGTTGAATTGTGGGAAGATTTATTTTACCATCTTGGGTGTCAATGTAACATTGCATGGCATGGGGGGTGAGTTTTTTTATCCCTCATACTTAATGGCAACTTGGCACCACTGTCATGCATTTGTATGATTTAAACATTTACATGTTTGTTTCCATTTTGGTTTTGTTTCGGTAGAATTGTGTCTGACAACCATTCAGTCGTCATAGCTTTCTTGTCAGCACTGTGTGCATTCTGAAACACCTTGGAACGTGGTAACTTCCCTGATAGCTTTGTGATGTGCTGTGAAGGGGTCAACACGTGTTGTGAAATGTGTGAGACATTAAAGTGTGGATTAGTGTAGCATCTGATCAACATTTGAAGATAGTGGTACTTGATAAATCTCTTTTAAAATTTGCCTCCAAATTTCCTTTCAAGCAGGAAAGTCATTGGCTTTTAGAAAATAATTGTATCTATGTGCCATTTGAAGATTTCGGCACGTGTGTTAAGAATTGTATACAAATTATTCATAATGTCTCTGTACTGATCTCAAAACAACCAATAAAATGCCAGTTATAAAAAAAAAATCAACCACTAAAAACGCTGGGAGGAGGATGCTGGGAAAAACCAACCAAAACCCCGCATGAAGGACAGTTCAACTCTGGCCCCATGGGGTCGCTATGAGTTGAGCTGACTCTCTGGCAACTGGAAATGCAGGCGATGGAGATGGCTTCTCCATTACCTTGTAATAAACGATGTTGGGCTGACTGGACAGCATCGTCTAAAATGCATTTGTACTCCTTTAAAAAATAAGAAAACAAAAATGTTTAATGAAAAAAAAAAAAAGAAAACCAACTTTTTAATAGGATTGATGGCACATGCCCAAGTTCTGCAGTGATAAATGCTTTAACCTCTCACCCGGGAGCCCACTTCTCAGGGTTCTGTGTCGGAAGGGTGAAGAACTCAGCCGGGAGTCTGTCCCAGCCCGTTCCCAACTGTGTGACCTCCGGCTTTCAGGTGCAACAGGTTTGAGACCTGTGTCTTTCA